CATTCCCAAGTAATCATTTTTATCATATTCGTAAGTTTTTGTGTTCATATCATTAACAAGCTTAAGAAGCTAAACGAGCCAGGTCGCGAGTTATACGAGTCGAGCCAATCTTGGATTCGAGCTCGTTATAGTAACGAGTCGAGTCGAGTTAGCTCGTTAACGAAATAAGCTTTAGCGAGTCGAGCCGAGTTGGCTCGACTCGGCTTGAATTCCAGCCCTAAAGGCGGTTGAGAAGGTGGAGTCAGTCAGAAGAAAACTTCTGGTCCCATTGACTGATTATGGTACTAATTTGGAAGCAGATGAGAAATTATTGCTATGCTAGATGAGATGTGGAGGGAGACAGAGGACCAATCTTTCATTTTGAAGGAGACACTAATGTGAATGGACTGTATGAGCCAGATGAGGAAGAGGAAGAGGAAGGGGAGGAAGAGAAGCATGAGGAGGTAGCCCAAGAGGGGCCAGTAAGGAAGAAGAAAACTAGAATGAGGACAACCACAAGGTCAAATTCTAGTAATCTTTGAGGATGTGCCGATACAATCATTTGATGAGAGAGATCAAGGTGATTCGAATGAGGAAGATGATGAAGGGTCTGTTTGGTAGCATTCCCAACCTAGCATGGTTGTTCTCCTCTGATACATGCTCGGTGTAACATGATGAGTACATGCATTTGCTGTTGTTTGGTAGCTGTGTATGTGCGGAGACTCTGTTTGGCAGCTTGCATTTGTTTAGACATGTCGGTCGGCACTGTAGCCACCAGTATTTTTAAATAAGTGAACAAAACATTTCAAAAATCTGAACACTTTTTTGAAACATGGGAAAAATAACATTTTTGAAAGTTTAGACATTTTTTGAAATTCAGAAGTTTTCTACTTTTTTTAAAAAATGAAAGTTTGGTTTTTTAAAAAATAAACAAAATTTGAAAATCTGAAATCATTTTCAAAATTAATTTTTTACATAAATATGATTTTTTTAATAACAAAATTTAAAATTCTGAACATTTTTTAAAATCTTAATAAATTTTGAAATTTTGGACATTTTCCTAAAGTTTTAACAAACTTTAAAAATCTGGACATTTTTCAAATTTTTGAACAATTTTTGGTATTCTCAACATTTTCTGAAAATTAAATTATTTTTTAGAAATCTGGAACATTTTCTGAAACATATTGTCACTCGCTTTGCTTATGCATGCTGACCAGCAAACGGTTGATGGGGTGTTCTCTCTTCGTAAATGCTAAGAGGGTATTTGGACTGAGTTCGTGCATGCTGAGGAGGCCCCGTGCAGGCTACTAAACACCCAAAAATGGGTCGGGGAGGGAACTCTTGACCTTATGCACCCTCCATACACTCTGCCAAACACACCCTTAAGTGTTGGCCTGTGATAGGAACAGTATGACAATCAAACCCAAGCCCGGAAATTGGTATGATGTGGGTAGAGAGAACCTAGAGGAACAATTTTGTAAAAAAAGTTGTTTCCTTGATTTGTAATAATTTGGAAGGGCACTTCTCACTTTTCACATATTAGAGCACAACAATTATGAGCTTCAGAAACACTACAATGATAGAATCGTAGATGTTTGCACAAATGAAGACTGCCCTTTCTATATCGAAGCTAGCTTTTGAGGTTGCAAATGAAAGGATCTTTTGCATTAGG